TTGGTTTATTCTTCAGCAGATCGTAATTGATTGTGTTCATGGAGGAGCATTGAATTGTGGGATTAGAAAGTTTGCCCGCCGAGATATTTTGCCGCTTGACTGTTGTAATCGCCAAATTTTTGCTCAGATTAGCCTTGAGCTTAGGTTGAGGCTTGTTCGGAGTCCATGCGGCGACTCATGCAAGGCTTTGGCTGACTTATGCTTCGGACTTAGGCTGTATTGCTGCTAGCGCCAAATCAATAGGTGATATGATATTATGACAACGGAATACGTTTCGTATTACTCCAAAATACATTTCCGTATCAATCCAAAATCATTGTTGAATTTCGCTGTTGTTCTCAGAGAAATGTGAAGGGCTTATCTCGGGCTTAGTCTGCCTTATTATTATCTTTGGAAATCTTTTGTCCAGTTGAATGGAACGATAACCAAATCTGCTTCAGGCGTTTACGAGCGTGTCAAACCGACTTGGTTGTGGATTAATAGTAACGATCGTTTTTTTATGCTGATGATCGCTTTCTTGATAGGGTGTCGTCCATCGCTCACACCTCTCTTCAGACAATATACGTAAAAATTTCATCGAAGTTATTCGCTTCAAATTTCAACAAACGTTCAGAATTGAATTGAATCATTTTCGGAGCTTCTTAGTAAAGCTCTTTCAATGCTTCACTGACATAACTTACTGCAAGAAGGGAAGTGAGATAAACCGAAGAATACTCAGAGTTTGATACTCGCGGATCCGCATTCCGCACAAAATTTTTGTTAACGGTCGATGCATTCGTCGGTGTCGTTTCGGTCGATGTTCAATGCACGTAAATGTTGCGCATCGCTCTACTCCACACAGTAATATTCGTGTTGGTTTATAATGATCAAAATGTGATCATCTTGCAGAGCGAACAATGGCATTCTCAATGATTCGTGCAATGCAAAGTGCAACTGTAACGATTCACTCATCTATCCAGTGTGCAGTTCCAGTGGTCAAATGTTCTTATCGCCATGCCACGCCGGATGTCCATTTGATATGCATACAACAAGCGATCCAGCTAAACGAGTGGAACAGCTGGTATCATTCAGAATCGTTTATTTTTGTTGTTGTTATGATTATTTTTTAAATTATTATTATTATTATTAACACTATTTTTATTGTTATTAAAGTGTGTCGTGCATGTTATCTCAATGATAATAAAATCAATGCCACTGTGAGAAGAAGGGTCATTAGTTGGACATGAAACAACTATAATAGATCAGGAATAGGTTGGTGTGGTAAATTCTGACAATTGTTGAAGGATGTCAGTGAGTCATTCCGTCAAAAAATTACTGATAGATAGGATTGTAATTCTGGATCAACACCCTTTTCTCTGTTTTTGATATTACTGTGAACGCTTACAATTAGAGCAATGTGTTACAGAAATCATTCACATTTTCACCTCCATAAAATTTGTATTTTGAACAGTTGAATAGTTTTAAAAAAATCAAATCATTCCATAGTCATAACCAATGGGAAAGTATGCTCCGGTTTGAGACCATGCTTATCGCACGAACCGCACTTGGAGATCGGTCAGCTTGCGAACGGCGGCGGACAAGCATGCACTGAGCCGTCTTTACAGATGAAATATTTTGAATCCAGAATCGAAAGGCCACTCCCTGCTCATCGTAACGAGTTCGCATCCAAAGTTTATACGAGCACCTTTGAAGTGTTCTTCAACGATGCTGGTTACAAGAGACCGAAGTTCTTTTCCCCAATCATCACCACTAAAAGTTTTCGATCTTCTTCTAGCGCGAACCTCCTTTGTTTTGCACTGCTTCTGTCAGAAAACCCCGTTTCCAACTCTGAAGAAGCCAGTCGTCATGTCTTTTGACTATGGGAACAGGTATAGAGCAGAACAATTTAAAGGGAAGAACAGGAATTAGTAGAACAATGTTGATGTTGGCGATGCTGGAACAGAGGAGAATAGAACAGTTTCCAAAAAACGGTGCGGATAGCAAAACAGGACATCAGAAAAGCGATATAGAACCGAATCGTTCTTGTAAAGCGGCCAGCAAAACGCGATATAGCGGAGTAGTTGACGAGCGCAACAGAACAGAACAAAAGTGTGGAACAGAAACATCAGTGGTCGATGCGATTCAATGTACTTCTAATTTTCAGACCTTGCATAATTGTATTTGTTCAAATGGAACTGATATGGCTGTGTCGCGTGCATATTGTCCTGAAGATGTTTGCGTGTGGGCCCTTTGTATATTCTTCGTTGCATTTTTCCTAAAAGGTGTACTGCAGTCCATCACTTTAAACCAATTATACCTGTTTGACGAAAGGTAGCGTTTGAGTGTTTTTAAAGACTGTGATTGCCGCGAGCATGCATCATCCTGTTGGAATTCAGAAAATCTAGGATGCTACTCATAACGTGTTTCTTCAATAGGAATATAGCATCAAACTGTGTGGGAGTACGTCGCCTGATGCTGTTAAATTGCGGTATTTGCTAACTTTTGATGTTTCAGGGATAAACAGCTGCTATCCATCAATCCGTTCCTATATACCCGAACGTGTGAGCCAAGTTTTTCGTACCTCTATCACACTTGTAGTGGTATCCAAAATTCATGAGGATGTTGCATATTGCGGTTTTTAGTTCATTTTCAGCGTATTCTCCTGAAATAAGTAGGTAAAAATTGGAAATCACCAATGTAACGAAACAACTGTCGTTATGTTTTTGTTCCAGCAAATTCACAACAGAGAAAACTGAAACTGATTTCAGATTCTGTGCCGTTCTTTGCAATTACTTGTTGGTTGATTGATCAATCTTGTGAAAAGAAGGTCAACTTTTGTGGAGATTGGTATAATGAATCATGCCTCAACTATGATACTGATTATCAGAGAAAGTATATGATCATCCCTCTCGTTTTGTTCGTGTAAGTTTGTTCTGAGCGATTTATCCATTCAAGCAATGTGGCAACTCTCCGGCGACAGCAATTCAAACGTTTCATGTTCTCGTGGAAGGTTCACCCCTGACCTTTCGTCATGGAGGTCTCACCCCTCAGAAAGTTCATCCTTGGATGATCAG